TGGTTGGGTCATTTAATCCATTTACATTCAAGGTTATTATCGATACATATGTTCCTATGACCATTTTCTTAATTGTTTTGGGTTTGTTTTTGTGGGTCTTTTTCTTCTCTTGTGTTTCCTGCTTAGAGAAGTTTCTTTAGCATTTGTTGTAAAGCTGGTTTGGTGGTGCTGAATTCTCTTAGCTTTTGCTTTTCTGAAAAGCTTTTCACTTCTCCATCGAATCTGAAGGAGATCCTTGCTGGGTAGAGTAATCTTGATTGTAGGTTTTTCTCTTTCATCACTTTAAGTATATCCTGCCACTCCCTTCTGTCCTGCAGAGCTTCTGCTGAAAAATGAGCTGATAACCTTATGGGGATTCCTTTGTATGTTGTTTTTTTGTTTTTTCCTTGCTGCTTTTAATATTTTTTCTTTGAATTTAATTTTTGTTAGTTTGATTAATATGTGTCTTGGTGTATCTTTCCTAGGGTTTATCCTGTATGGGAGTCTCTGTGCTTCCTGGACTTGGGTGACTATTACCTTTCCCATGTTAGGGAAGTTTTCAACTATAATCTCTTCAAATATTTTCTCAGACCCTTTCTTTTTCTTTTCTTCTTCTGGGACCCTTATAATTTGAATGTTGATGTGTTTAGTGTTGTCCTGGAGGTCTCTGAGATTGTCTTCAATTCTTTTCATTCTTTTTTCTTTATTCTGCTCCTTGGAAGTTATTTCCACAATTTTGTCTTTCAGCTCACTTATTCGTTCTTCTGCCTCAGTTATTCCGTTATTGATTCCTTCTAGTGCATTTTTCAATTCAGTTACTGTGTTGTTCATCTCTGTTTGTTTGTTCTTTAGTTCTTCTAGATCTTTGCTTGTATTTTCTCAATCCGTGCCTCCATTCTATTTCTGAGATTCTGGATCATCTTTACTATCATTACTCTGAATTCTTTTTCAGGTAGATTGCCTATTTCCTCTTCATTTATTTGGTCTTGTAGGTTTTTACCTTGCTCCTTCATTTGTGACATATTTTTTGCTGTGTCATTTTTTTTTTTTTTTATGAGTGGGATTGTGTTCCTGTCTTACTGGTTGTTTGGCCTGAGGCTTCCAACACTGGAGTTTTTTGGCTATTGGGTAGAGCTGGGTCTTGGTGCTGAGACAAGGAACTCTGCGAGACCTCACTCTGATGAATATTCCCTAGGATCTGAGGTTCTCTGTTAGTCCAGTTGCTCGGACTCAGAGCTCCCTCTGCAGGAGCTTTGGCCCAACCCTGGGTTTGTGAACCAAGATTCCACAAACTGCCTGGGGCGGCAGAAAAAAAAAAAAAATAATAGCAAAGTAAAATATAAAATTAGACTAGGAAACTAACAGATATGTTAGGAAGAATATAAAAGTAAAAATATAGATGAATCAACAACTGGAAGGTACATTAGTATCACAATAGTAAAAAAGAGGAGGAGGGAAAAGAAAAAAAGGGGGGGGAAGGCTTTGGCTGTGGAAGGCAGGGCCTAAGCAAGGGTGAGGTTTGGGTGGTGGGTGGGGCCAAACCTTGCCCTTGCTTAGGCCCTGCCTTCCACAGCCAAGGCTGGAAAAGGCCCTGGGGGCTGTGGGGGTGTGGGCCTTAGGTTCAATGGAACAGAAGGGGCCCAGGTGTGCCCCCCACCCCTGTTCTCAGAGGGCGGGGGACCTCACCTGGGATCCCAGCAGGCTTCTTGGGCATGAGTGGGCAGGGAAATGCCGTCCTCTCGTCTCCTGCTCCTCTGGTCTGGGAGGGCCCCTCCTGCCTGCCTCTCCTGATCTCCCTGGCCTCAGGGGTGCAGATCCTATCTGGCTTCCACTCCTCCTATCCCCTCAGTCCCCCTACGTCCTGCTGGTTCACTTTGGGGTTCCTCCCATCTCCTTCAGCATCAGAGTCCCCCACCAGTGGCCAGCAGGTGCCCTAGTTGTGGGGAGACACTAACTCTGCACCTTCCCATACGGCCATCTTGACTCCGCCTCCTCTTTATACATTTTGGATAATAACCCCTTATAGGATATATGTTTTGCAAATATTTTCTCCCATTCAGAAGGTTGCCTTTTCATTTTGTTGATGGATTTCTTTGCTGTGCAGAAGCATTTTAGTTTGATATAGTCCCACTTGTTTATTCTTGCTTTCGTTACTTTTGCTTTTGGAGTCAGATCCAAGAACTAATCACCAAGACATATCAAGGAGCTTACCACCTACATTTTCTTTCAGGAGTTTTGTGGTTTCACGTCTTATGTTCAAGTCTTCAGTTCATTTTGAGTAAATATTTGGGTGTGGTGTACAAGAGTAGTCTAGTTTCATTCTTTTGCATGTGGCTGTCCAGTTTTCTCAATACTATTTATTGAAGAGCCTGTCCATTCCACATTGTATATTTTTGGCTCCTTGGTTGTAAATTAATTGAGTATATATGCTTGGGTTTGTTTCTGGGCTCTCTTGTCTCTTCTCTTGATCTATGTTCCGTTTTTATGCCAATGCCATACTGCTCTGATTACTCTAGCTTTGTAGTATAGCCTAAAGTCAGGGAGCATGATTAAACCAGCTTTTTCTTCTTCCTCAAGATTCCTGTGGATATTCAGGGTCTTTTGTGGTTCCATACAAACTTTAGGATTGTGTGTTCTATTTCTGTGAAAAATGTCATTGGAATTTTGATAGGGGTTACCTTTAATCTGTAGACTTTGAAATTATCCAGGCCACTTTTCCCTACTCCAGATTCATATTTCTAATTGCCTACACAACATCTCCACTTGAATATCTCATAGGCAGCATTAACTTAACATTATCTCTCTCCCCACAAACCTGCTCCTTCCACAGTCTTCTCTTTCTCAGGAAATGACATGTACATACTTCCGATGCTCAGTTCTGAAAATTTGCTCATTTCTGAGTCCTCTATTTCTCTAACATCCCTACATGTAATATGTCAGCAGATTCTGTGAACCCTTGAACCCTATCCAGAATCAGGCCACTTTTGGCTACCTCCACTTCTATCATCCCTTTGCAAGCCAACATTGTATCTCACTTGGATCATTAGTTAGTAGCCTAACTGTCTTGCAGCTTCTATTTCTTCTTTCCCACATCTTCTTCCCATCTCAAGACCTCAATCACAGCCAAACCCAACCAGATGATCTTTTTAAACCAAAAGTCAAATAATATCACTCCTGAGCTCAAATACTCTCAGCAGTTTCCCATTTAACTCTAAATAAAGGACCTTCAATGATTTACTACGTCCTATGTCATCTGGCATTCTGATCCCTTTTCTTCCTACCCTTTTTTTTTCTCATTCCAGTATTGCCCCATTAGTCTTGGTGTTGTTTTTTGGACAATCCTGGCACACTTAAGCTTTAAGGATTTCTGGCCCCTGTCTCCAAAATGCTGTTCTCCCGAATAATGGTGGTATCACCTCATGGTATCATTCCTCATCACATTCAAGCCTTTGTTCAAATATACCTTCAGTAAGGCCTCCCCTGCCCACCCATTTAACAATGCAATCCCCTGCTTCCACATGCCCTATCTCCTTTCCCTGCTCTTTTAAAAGTTATAGGCCTTATCATTATTTGATATACTGGAGGGTTTCTTTCTTTATTTGTTAATTGTCTGTATTCCCCCTCTAGAACTTATAATCCCTCAAGGCAGAGATTTTTGTCCTTTTGTTGTTATTTTTTTTCATGTTATATGTCTAGCTCTAGAATACTGCCTGGCAAATAATTGTCTCATGATACAAATTTATTGAAGTAATAGATAAAAAGATCAGAATAATCTTGATATGCAGAAGTGCTAGGGTTGTTTTAATCTGTCAAGTCCTTAAAGGCCTATATCTTTTTTTTGTTGTTTGTTTGTTTGTTTTGTGGTATGCGGGCCTCTCACTGTTGTGGCCTCTCCCATTGAGGAGCACAGGCTCTGGATGTGCAGGCTCAGCAGCCATGGCTCATGGGCCCAGCTGCTCCGCAGCATGTGGGATCTTCCCGGACCGGGGAACAAACCCACGTCCCCTGCATCGGCAGGCGGACTCTCAACCACTGTGCCACCAGGGAAGCCCAGGCCTATATCTTTAACAGAGAATAAAGGAGCTATAAAACACCATCACCCCAGTGATTTTACTTGAAATATCACTGGTGCTCAAGGCTTGTCCTATTTGCTCTCTCCTGATGACCTGTGTTTTATAGGTTTCCCTCCTGTCACCCATCATGACCCATATCAAATTTTGACTGAAAATAGCTGACCTTGGTTAAACCTAAACTCTGCTTATTCTTTGTTTTATAATTTCACTACTGGTGTTTCCTTCCAACTTGGTGAAAGTTGGTTCAGAGTTTCCTGCCTAAGTCTTCTCTTGGATAAAAGGCACTATGCCTCAGACTGCCTTAACCTCTTAATCTAACCAGCAATCATGCACTCACCATTCTAAGGGGTAAAGCATGGTCATCAAGGTTTTGAAAGTGTTCATGGTACCCATTCTGGAGCGATGCTCCTGTTGCCTGAAGTAGGACAAGCATTTGATTACAGGGGAATTAAGCGGCCAGGGAAATCCTAGGAAAGTTAGATTTAAGGATATCTGAAGCATATAAAACAAAAAAGATAAAAATTAGGTAATGTGAGAGTTAAATGCTGCTTGAAATATTTGAGGTGGGGATTGTGTTGCAGAGGAATGTTAAAAGGAGAAAGGAATTTTTCCAAAGTACTGCATTCTAATACGTCTGTGAGAATCTCAAGTTATAAAGCAGGGCCATTTTCTGTTTTGTTGTTGCTGTTTTTTTTTAATATGTTAATCCCAAACTCCTAATTTATCTCCTCCCAACCCCCACCCCTCTGTCTCCCTTGGTAACCATAAGTTTGTTTTCTATGAATGGCCATTTTCTTCATTCAAAGACTACATATGGTACTAAACTTAGCTACTACTTTTAGTATCATTTTACAGAGTACTGCAATAGAACTGATTTTAATAATGTGGAGCATTGCTTAATTGTCTGATGATGTCAATTTTGATTTTCAGCTGAATATTAATACTCACCGTTTCCCGGTTGGATAGAACCTAGAGCAAGCATGGCCATCCCAGGCGCAGTAAGGGTCTCTTGCCAGGCAGCAGTCAGCACAGGCTGTACCGTAGATGTGGCAGCGATGCAGAGACACTTGGGAAAGTCCTTCATTGGAGCTCACATACAACTGTTGCTATTAGAAGAATGATGGTGATTTATTTCAGATGTAGAAGTTAAAAGTGGACTTCCAGCAGGAACACAATATAATATATGCCCACAAACCCTTGGATTCATTTTGAAATAGACTAAAAACAAGAAGCAAAGTACAGAAGGGTATAAAGCCAAAATAAATAGAATTTTCCTACGTTAATATGCCTATAACATTACCACTTTCCTGTTTAAAAAAAAAGTTCAGAGCACCATGTAGAATGGTAATGTATTTTAGACATTGGGATTCATTGTTCTCTCAGATTTGAGCTAATGTATTACAGATTTAAATTATGATGTTTGCCTTTTTTCTTTGAATGCTGTCTCTTGGCAAAGCACAAGACAGCTTTCTTATTCTTCAAGTCTGGCAAACGATCACCTTGTAAATTTGAAAAAGTAGAGTCTAAAATAAAGGGCACTTTTATGTTTAGAAAAAATAGATGGTAAATATTAGATAAAAATATTAGATAAAAAAAATTTCACATGCCTTTGAAAGTGACTTATTACTGAGAGCAATTTTAAAATTATTTAGAAGACTGTAAGTATTTATATTTAGACGTTTTAAACTTTCTGTATGATCCCAAGATCTTCAGCAGCCTAAGTCATAAATAAAGATTTCATCCTCCTTCATTTGTACAGTGTCAAGAGCTTATTATGATATTTCTCCAACTCTTTTAGCTGTGCATAAAGCAGTTCTCAGGAGTTGAAGGGATGTTTCTAATTCACAGTCCTTATTTTACAAAGGACTGATAATATGTAATTCAAGTTAACATAGAATTTCTAAGCTGGAACTTGAATACATGCACATGTGCACACATATGTGTGTGTATGTGTGTGTGTCTGTATGTATATAAATTTAGAAATTATATATAAATTTAAATATTATATATAAATTATATATAAAAATATTTAAAAATTATATATAAATTTAAAAATTATATGTAGATTTAAAATTAAATCAGTGAGGGCACCATTGGTCTATCAGGTTCTGGAGGCACATCTCTGAGATTCAGATCCCAGCTACCACAAATTTGCTGGTTAACTTTTCTGAATCTCAGCTTCCTCTTTGGTAAGACTGAGACAATATAGCACTTACTCCATAGATTTTATGTAAGAATTAAATATAAGGGCTAACTCCACATAAAATGCTTAGAATAGTTTCTGGCACCTAAACGCTTAATGAATATTAAGCAATAGTATTAGTAAACTACCAATGAACAAGCTAGCAATTTATACATTTTCAATTCTAATTAATCATTTGAATCACATCTCAGCCTAGCACACGTAATATAAAATAATTATTTTATTCAGATCAATGAATTTTTCAGAAAATAGGCTGAAAATTACTGATTCCCATTTGAGACATTCAAGCTATAAGAAAACAACTGCATGTTTTGACGATAATCATTTCTCTAGAAATATTTGAAATAAATGTTCATTGAGTACATTAATAAATAATACAGTGAATGCATCAACCTCATTAAAATATTTCAAGGAAACTTGTTTATTTGAGGAAAGGATACAGGTAATTCCATTCTAGAAATTATCTTTTTTATTAATCTATTTTCTGCTATTTGGAATGCAAGGATAAATTAGAGAATAAAGGAGCATAAAATGAAAAATAAAATTTTTAGTTTGAGCATTAGAGAAGGTACTAAATTCGTGGAATTTAAATATATATAAAATACCATTGGCAATTTGTAGTTCTTTCACACTGAAAAAATAATGCAATACATAGTTGTGTAAATGAATTCTCCCCCAAATCAAACAATTACCTTGCCCTGAATCTAATTGCTTTAATTAAACATTTTAAATTACCTACAATATAAGATGTTGAAACAAATTTAATACTCAGTCTTTCCAGTGTATGTTTGTGCTGTACACTGCAATTTAATGGAATGGATTGTGTATTACAAGTTCACCAGTTGAATTATGAGCTGAAACCTATAATTGTATACTGTACTACTATGTCACACAAATGGCTTTGTGTCCATTTTGAATCTTGCTCTGATACTTTCTCCTTCCATTAAACTACTGTAAACAAAGGGATTCCATGCTGACTTCAAAGACAATTCTGACTTGGGATCAGCTCCCTAGGACACTGGGGAAAATGACAAATGGCTTCTTGTTACTTGGGAAAATGTTTGTTATGCACCATACAAACATTTTTACAGATGAGATCTTTAGCTCCCTTGTACCCTATTTATTTTTCTTCATAAAATTTAGTCAAGTGAAAAGAGTACGAGACTAACTGTGGAATACTTCTCTATCTGTAACAGACCAAATATGGTGAAGAACACTAAAGTTATATCATCAGTTATGCCAACACATAAAACCTTTATTCCATATTCCAAGAAAAATAAGTCTTAGGCTCTTACAAACAGCAGTTACCGAAGACCCACTTTGTTTTAGGTCATTTATATAAGTTAACTCATTTGTGAGAAAGCATTACCTTGCAGAGGCAGAAATTTAGGTCAGTGAAGTAAAATAATTTGTTTATAATTTAAGGTCACGTTGGGGTTCAAATGCATGTCAGTCCCATTCTGAAGCCTACCCCATTTTTGACTATACTGCTCTGCCCCTTAGAACTTTTGTTTTAGAGATAGCAACTTTGGGGTCTGGAGAGGTGCATGTTTTGCACATGTAGAGATTGGAATTGGGCTTTTCCTCTCCATGGTCATTGTGTATTTGCGTGTGAAGGCACAAATTAGAAGATCAAACATTTCTGATAATCATAGTAAAACATTTATTCCCCAGATCCGGAACCCTGATATGGCTTAGATTTGAGACGTTCAGATTTTTTAAATGACATGTAAACCCTATAAAATAGCACTTCCTTAGAAATAAGCATAAAAGAATGCACTGCATATTTCAAACATGTGACAGCAACAGGAACTCAAAAGAGTATTGATTACTCATTCCAAGTCCCTGAGAAGGTTCGTGATGCTACAGTAGCCCAAACATTATGCTAAATTCTTCCTTCAGAAAGATTATTTTTATTTTGGTTGCCTTCATACACTGTAATATTTGAGAATAGGGGATATACAAATGTTGGAATATCTTGCTGCATATATATATTCTACTCTGATGAACTTCTGTACAAAAATAAGCCTATTTTGTCTTCAACTAAAGCTAAATTCCATATCAAAAGTAAGTGTGTGGTATACTATGAACAGTATTAATAATTTTGCTAATAGTAAAATTAAATTTTCAGAAATTATAAAACACATTCTTCCACAATAGTAAAATTTTTAAATACAAAGAAAATAAAAATGGGGTTGTTTTTACCTTTTTGGATGAAATTTTCATTGTTGTTATAGGAGCATGATTCTAAAAAAGTTAGAAAAACATTGTTAGTTGCTCAAATAATCCTTAAAACAGATTTTACATTCAAAAACTTTCCTTGTTTCTGTTAAAATTCAAGAAATCATCATTTCTCTGTATATGCACATATAGTTTCAAAGTTTAGCAGTAATTGTCTATAAAGTACATTTCCTCTGTTTGGAATAAGGACAGATTTGTTACACAAATAATAGGCCTAAACTAAAAAAAGTGGCAATTATAACACATCTATCAATATAGTCATTAGAAAAAAATGAAAATTTGAGAAATTTCAGAGAATTGAAAAAACTGTATCTTGGAATATTGAACACAGCGCATAACTCAGGATTGGATCTGGGTACTTGGGGTGGGGGGCTGTGGAATGGTACCCCTCCTCAACACAGCACTTTGTATAAGATACTATTGTTCAGCTGCCAAATGTTGCTATGCCAAGAAGTATTTGCCTGAGCCATACTTATTCTCTTTGTTGAATACAAAGAAATATTGTTAGGTAAGGTCCTCTTCTGATAAATGTGAATTAGTGAAAGAACCTAAGAGTTATCTGAAATAGTCATCCTTTCTGAAAGTTCCTCTATTCTTAACTTTACTTCTTAAACATTATTAGTTCCTTTTAAAGATTAAAAATTAGACTCGTGATAACCTGATAAAGATGTGTGAAGTTTTATTTGAATAAGTCAAGTGGCAACACACTGTCAAAGTCAACTGTGCCCATAATTATTTCACTTTCTGGAGTTGTGTGTTCCTACAAACATTTTAAAAAGAAAATGGTGATATCTTTAAATACTCAGTTGCAACAGATCATGACATTCATTCAGAAATATACACACATACAAAACAAGTTTTGCAATTTATATCCACCTAGGCAACTACAAATAGTTGTACCTCCAATTCAAATTAAGTTTAGGGAAGTTGGACATATTTTCAGAAAATATTCTGAACAGAGGATTAAAAAATATATTATGGTTCTGCGCTCTTTAAAAACAAAGTGCCTGGTTTTTACATTGAGTTTCCTGCAGTATATCAGTGTAACACTTAGTTAAGGAATTTATTTCAGTTTAAATGTATTATTTCCTCAAGTGCCCATCACAGTATATCATACACACCCAATTATTTTCACCTCACCTCAGAAAATGTGACACAAACACCACGCTGAAGACAGTAACTGTATTTGGTAACTGTTTCTCTCAATTTAGCCATATCAATCACTGGCACACGCATCCAGAAGGAAGCTCAAACTTCTTTAGTCTCTCTTGGGTTGATGTCCCCCAACATGCATTTTGACTGACTCCATTTTTCCACTGAGAGTTTATTCTTTATGATATAACACCAGCATAACTCATAAGTAGTTAGCACATGATCAGAATAACTCTCATTTCTAAGACCTTTCCATAGAACACATATAAAACTCAATTAATGTTTCCTTATTATCAAACTCAATTAATGTTTGTGTCAAACTCACTTAATTAATGTTTCCTTATTATCAAAAAAATATATTTCACAATTAAAAATGGAGTGCTGCAATACGGCCTTTTTGCTATTTTCAAGAAAACTACTGAATAAGGTACTTTATATTATTTTGGCCATCCAAGTTGTCCCTATTGAATTGAATGAGAAGAAATATATTATATATATATTATATGTAAAATGCAGTTTTGGTTAATCCAATGAAACAAACAATTTCTTTACAAAGCAAGGCACAGAAAAGGCACTTAAATGCACATAGTTAATATTTTATGAGCATAATTTTAATGCACTAACCACAAGGAACCTTATGCCAAAGTTAGTCTAGCATTAAAAATTGTAACCTTAATAACATATTGGGAAATTGCCAGAATTCCTCAGTTTCTGTATTTGATTTGATTTTTAAAATAGTTCTTCATATTTAAAATGTATTAGTAAAATCTAATATCACTGTATCTTGATCACTTATGTGCTTATAAATCCAATATTTTTAGTGACTGGGGGAATATATATTAAGGTAATACATTCTGAGTCCACTCAACAAAGCAAGGCAACTTACTGGACTAGCAATAGTCTGCTCCCAGGGGCTTTGAAGTGCTATTTTTACTCCAGTATAGGCTGACTCTGGTTTTTTGGTGTCCGTGGCCATTGTTTCTTAATTGGTTTAGTTGGAAATAGAAGTTTGCTGTAGGATTGATTCCATACCAAAGTTTCTTTGAAATCCTCTGGCTGTGCTTTACTCATCTTTCCAAATCAGGTAAGAGGGACCACTTAAACTGCAATGACCTATACTTTAAGGAGAGAAGGGTTTGCAGGACATAATGTACCAGCTCTCCAGGCTCACAGACACATAAAGAACTGGCACTCTGCCCTCAGTAGGTTACATCTTACAGGACCGAATTTTCTTCTATGTGCCTGTTTTTTGTTGTGTTTTCTTTTTATCCCAAATTCAAGGACAAAGAGAGTAATACAATGCAATCTCAATTTCAGACAGAACATGAAGTTTTAAGAGACAACATTTGTTTTATTTAACTAGAGTGCCATTTGAGTTGAAAGCAATAAAATAAGAGAAAACAGCAGTTTTTCTTGAAGTTCCTGGCTAAAAAAATATGAGAAAGTTTATCTAACAATCAATAATGTGGAAGAATTTGGGTCTCGGTGGCTTGTGAAGCAAATGATAAAAGCCCTTTCATGGCAAATCTCCTAGACCTTGACCACAAGAACTCATTTTTTAAAAATAATGATGACCAAAATTCTTCAAGTTGTGATGATAGCTAAAAAACTAATTCTTTTATGTTAAGATAACTTAAAATGTTAAAAATTACTTCAGAAGAATATTTGTTATTTCTCATTTTATCTGGTGTTTCCTACCCTCAAAAATTTATAACATTCATTTATTTGATCTTTTATCAATTTTTTTTCCCCTCCCCAAGTGATTGTAAGATTAAAGAGTTGCATTTATCATGCATGTGCTGGGGCTAATAGAATAGATGTTCAAACCTTAAAGACTTCCAACTCCTCCAGAATGAGCTCACCGCTGGCAGAGCTGTTAGAAGGAAGAACAACAACCTTCTGCACAGTACCTCGATCTAAATCGGAGAAAGAAACAATGAGATGTAGGAAACAAAGATATTTAGACATAAGACTACTACTGGCTTAGAATTTAGAATATTGTTTATGTAATTACTTAGTCATCAAAAAAGAGATTACATACATTGAGCTATTACCATTTGCAGTACTCTGATTTCATTATAAATCTCATATGTTTAAATTGAGATTATGTAAAATTCAAAAGGAATTAATAGGAACACCTTATATCTTGCACATATTTGGTATATTCATAATTATGAGAGAAGAAAGGAATGTCCAAATGTCTTATGAAGTTCAAAGTTCTGTTTCTGAACCAAGTGTGTATTCTTGAAATAGTAATACATAACTTTAAGTTTGGCCCTTAAGAATATTACTCCTCCTAACCAACATTATAAAGTGACACTCTCATATTTTTATTAAAATTGACACATAATGATTTGATTATCGGAGAAAAAATTACTATGAATGAGTTTTTATAATAATTTTATTATAAATCATTAGTACTAGAAATTGACATTTGACCTGTAGCGGTGAGAGATTTTAGACATGGTAAAATGTTTCACTCACAATTCAAAATAATTTTCAAAGCAGAAACATAGCTATGGCTTTATTTCAGATGTGGACACCTATTCATAGAATAATTCTATGATTTTCACAATTATCTTTATCAGTTGGGAATGTTTCTTTGGGTATTTTTAAAATATAGGGAAAATTTCAAAATTACGTGAGTCGAATAAACTTAAGCAAATAAAAAACCTACTTGTATTTCTCAATTATAGATTGCCAAAAACAGAGACGCCCAAATAAATGTATTATATATAGAAAATGTTACTTATGTCAAGATTTTTTTTTTTTTTTTTTTTGCGGTACGCGGGCCTCTCACTGTTGTGGCCTTTCCCGTTGCGGAGCACAGGCTCCGGACACGCAGGCTCAGCGGCCATGGCTCACGGGCCCAGCCGCTCCGCAGCACGCGGGATCCTCCCGGATCGGAGCACAAACCCGCGTCCCCCGCATTGACAGGCGGACTGTCAACCACTGCGCCACCAGGGAAGCCCTATGTCGAGATTTTTAATTAAGATTGTTTCATATGTAACATAAGCATTTTCTAAACATATAATTATGCCACTCTACCAATCACTTAAATTTTAGGTTTAAAAGAAGCTAGTTGAAATTTAGCAATGTGGGGTTAAAGCAAATTTGTGAGTGATCTGAGAAAGTAAAAATATATTTCTTCACCAAAATATGTTTCCATTAAAATAATTAATGAGCTGCTTCATGAATATCAAGTCATCACTGTTAAAGTATGAGCATATAACTGTGAATTTATAATTTGGATAGGCACATTATCATCAACAGATACTAAAACATTTTCTAATTCTGTTGAGAAATGTCACTAAGAAGAGGTAACTTGAACTGAGCTGTACAGGACTTTACAACTAGGAATCATTTAGTGATGAATACCAATACCACTAATCTCAAATCTCACATCTCAAGCTGGGCGATCACACAGGCAAGCATTACTCTAACATATAAGATCCTATTTATTGTTTATAGTTTCTATTTTATTAACCTAACTGGAAGATAAAATAATTCTTAATAAAAAATAAACTCTACTTTAAAATTTTACCAACTAACAAACTAAAAAATTAAAACCTACCAAATAATAATAAAACTCTTTATACAGAAAAACGACAGAGATTTTGCCAGAACAAGCCTTGAATCTTGTGAGACTGCGAAGTTTAAGTACCTGATCTTTGAAGTTTCAAACTACGCTCTGTAATTTAAAATTCTCTTCTTAAGCCATACTCAAAAATAAACAAAAATCCTAAAGATTGGCAGGCTCTAGGTGTAATTAAGAAACTTGGAAGTTTCTCTGTTTCACCGTTCAGCTTCCTAAGAATTAGCTCTGTACCAATCTGTACTATTTTCTTGGAAGATAATTAATGCAGGTACGAATTGGAAGCGAAAAAACATTTGGGGATATGGTGCAGAGACACATCACAATTGAAAATGGATAAATGTGATTGAAGGTGTTCCCCATTTTCTATTAACAATTCATCACAAAGAACAGTGTAAACTTCGACAGGAATAGAATATACCAAAAACCCTAAAATTAAAGCCTTGACATTATAACAGCTAGGGCAGGATTTGTGTGGTATTGTGTGTGTGTGTGTGTGTGTGTGTGTGGTGTGTCTGTGTGAGTGGGTGGGTGAAAGATGAGGGCATAAAGCTATCTTTGTTTTAGGTCATGTTATCATAAAGATCACACTCTTTTTTAAAGTCACAACAGCGTTTTATGGTTCCTTGCTGAAGCTTGCAAGGATCACTGCCATTCCACATGACAGCAATGACCACTTGTTTAGTAGAGACTGAGCAGAAGCAATGTATAACCATAGCCCCAAATAAAGCTGCATGAGAGGAAATCTTGATTACAGGAGTTCCCAAAGATAAAACTATCAGCTTTGAAAATAATTTTAAGTATTCTCAAATGAGAGAACTGGCTACTTTTTTACCTAACGTTTTAACTATGAGAACATTATTCTACATAAATCATCATTTCTTCTGAAAAAGCCCACAACAATCATATTTTATTCATGCCATTTATAAAATATTACACAAAGAGCAGCTATAAAAATGGGCTAATAAAAAAATGCAAAACTTGGTTTTGACTCATTTGAAATGAAAGATAGAATACCACCTTTATTTATTGTTTGCCTTCCTATTTTAGTCATTTTTTGTTTTGCTGGTAATGATGAGTAGATTTCCCTTTAAAAAGTAAAAAACAAAAAATTTAAAGGTTAAAAAGTATATTTTTCTACCTAGTAAAATGTCAACTTATCTGAAATTCTTACAGAAATATAAGTAAATTTAAATATTGGTAATGTTTCTACCTCAAAATCAAGTTTAAGTAAAATCATAGAAATGCAAGATCTCCACAGTGAAACAAATATTTATTGGATGCCTACTATGTGCCTGGATCTATGATAAAAATATATCATTTCAAGAACGTAAATATGCATTTTAATTCCTTTACTTTTCCACATTTAGACTTGAATTGGTACTTTATGAGGTAGCATATCTGCAGAGTTCTTCATTACACTGGTTCAATTTTCATCAGTGTGTCACAAATGAACATATTTGTTCTCATACTACATATTAAAGCTTTTTATACATAAATTAGAAGTCTCAAATTTGTGGATTCAATATGAATGGAATAGCTTTAGATCCTTGTGAGAATCATCACTATTAACAGTTGTTAATTGGATTTTATGAGACCTTGAACTTTTATAATTTGGGGGGGGTCTTCTTTAAGTAAAATAATACATAAACACAAAAACAGAGTTGTTTGGACCTTTCCCAAACAGTTACAAATGAGGAATTCTAAAGTTTCTGGTAAGTCCACCTCTGACAATTAGCCTAGTTTTCTAAAAAAAGAAAGTTTCTATAAAACTGGACAATGATACTTTCTTTAAATTGAAGAATCTCTAATTATCCAATGAAATCTCATCTACAATATCTTATCACTACAATTTTATTATCCAAGATCAGTTTTTCACAAGTTAGCAAAAGGCTGGAAAATTCTTTAGTTGAACGCAAATAGCTCTACCTCCCTATTTATTTTATTCATTGGCCTTTCTTCTACAGCTGCCAAGAATATACAGTACTCAATCTCTTTTTCACATCTCTCCAAGTGTATCTTTATACCCTCCATACTCTGTTTCTCTGGTCTAAGCATGAGCACTCTGTTCATCTTACTCAAATTCAAAATCAGATATTTTTACCTGCCTTTCTCTGAATACCCTGCAGTTTGGGATTATCCTATTCAAAATGTGGTGCTCAGAATTATACATGACTATGCAGTTTTTTTACCACAATGCAGACCTCACTGAAGGGACTATTTATTTATTTATTTTTTGTGGTAAGCGGGTCTCTCACTGTTGTGGCCTCTCCCGTTGCGGAACACAGGCTCCGGACGCGCAGGCTCAGCGGCCATGGCTCACGGGCCCAGCCGCTCCGCGTCATGTGGGATCTTCCCGGACTGGGGCACGAACCCGTGTTCTCTGCATCGGCAGGCGGACTCTCGACCACTGCGCCACCAGGGAAGCCCTGAGGGGACTATTTAAAAGACACAGCAGGAGTTCTAGTTGATCAACGACTTAGGTGATTGGTCAGGATCTCTAGCACTTGGACCCTCATAAACAGAGATCCCAACTGTAGTGTACACATTTACAAGGCTCTACTCTAGATGTCTTTATATTTCTGCTCCTCTTACAAACTGCCAGACTCCCACAATCTCCAGTTCAGGTTCTCAAGAGGCAGATTTAATTTGGTCCAATCTAGTCATGATGAAGGCACACTGTAAACTGTGGCTTGGTGGATAGATCAGTTGTCAAGTGCTAATGTGTCATTTCAATCAGTTATGGCACCAGGAAGAAGCCAATATATGTATCACCCATGGTTGCCCCTTAAATTGGCCCATGTGAATGGGAAAATTTCTCTCAAAATGCAGTCATGGTAGACACCTTTGGTTTCTTTTCTAAACATACTCACAAAACCTCAGTTCCATATATAGACAATACTTTTGAGGTATCCTTGGGATGAACCATTCACTACTAAGTAAATAAAAGGACTTGGGTTGTCTTCCACCCATTTTTACTCATTGGTTCAACAAGAAATTACTGAGTACCTTCAGTATGTCAGGCAATATCACCAGTATGAATGCAAAGATAAAAGGGCATGGCACTCAAGAGTTCACAGTCTAGAATTTACAGGGTTTTTTTTTTTATGGTTTTTTGAATAGTGTGTTCCCACTAATTGTTAGTCATTGAAAAATATGCATTCCGGAATGTCCATAAAATTCCCAATTACTTATGTCTACATAAAGCCATCTCTGAACCCTTTAGCTTGATAATATATATAGTTATCAAATACCTTCCTTCTGGCGGTAGTGAGAATGGCATTCCTTGAATATATGCAGCATAAATTCTTTTTGCTTTTG